ACAAACAAACAGTACGGTCTATTAATACAGGGAAAAAACAGAGACAAATAACATACCGAACAGTAGCCAGAAAATAGGAAAAGTGAGTCAAGAAAGCAAATATTGTTTTACAATAAACATCAAACTGCAATTGGTTAATAAAGAGATACAGTCGCACAAGGTCAAAGGGAGTTAATGTGGTGGTGGGCGTTTCACTTATTATTGGTGTGCTCGTCTATCGATCACATTTTACAGTTTCAATGTCATGTATTATTGAAACATCATGAAGAATCTAGTCAATCAATCAGTGACTTGTTATAAACAGTCAGATAACGAATGACACGACCAACAAGATTTACAGATTAAATGTGCAACTGTTGTTACATCTTCTACAAACAGACTGTTTTAACATTCTGAAGACTAAGAAATGCCACTTGGAAAAAGTAAAACCGTTTGGTGAGATGATATGGTAAACGGCAGTGAAGCATCGATTGTAGTAGAGTTATATCACAGATAGACATCGGGGTAGAGATTATAACAAGGGAGTGATGGACTGGTTTTGTTGTTTTTGCACGGTTCTCAAATGTGTACACCGACCCCTGTCGACAGGGATTTAACTAACCACCTTGAAGTTAACTTGCTGTTGTCTTATTATCAGATCACACAGTTACAAACCAACAGTCGACATTCCTAATTTCAAACGAACTTTCGTCATAGCATGTGTACTATCGAGTTCCACAGTTAGATACGCTCTCGTTACCAACACAACTGAATTTCGTTACTTATAAGCTTCATTAGAACCGTGGGAATCTGTCTCGACAAAATTCAACAGTGAGAAATATTTATAATAATAATAATGAGAGCAAACGTCTGTCTGTATGATCTCTGAAATGGTCTCGAAGAGTAGTCACGTAGTGAGACGAAGCACCACTTAAATTTCCACTGATTTAAAAATAATGTCAGCCAACGACGAATTTCTAATGATAATCAGACTAGTCTTCACAAAATCTTTAAATAATATTTAAACATGACTACGAGGAAGTTAATTAAATAAACAACAACAAAACTCCTTGAAATATAAGTATGAAAGTTTGTGGAGATCAGAGTAGTTTTGCAATTGGCGGTCGTTGAATTCCTGGAAGCACTGGACAGTCGTTTGGTAGTAGTATGAGAATCCTAACCCGCGCTTATCCACGTTCCTACGAGACTCAAATCCAAGACGTTCAGTCTCAAGAGCGGACAGATGACGTTCAGACCACTAACCTGCTATCCAGTGGTGTCAATGTTTAGCTTCAACAAATCCATGCTCTAGAGAGACCCATCATCTGTTCCATGAGGTGTATATCGATCGAACACTCGATGCAGACTCAACTCCTTAGGTTACGGTCTCTCACTACTATTAAAATGTTATTTTTATCTGTAATTAATTTGTGAAGAGTGAGAAGGACATAGTGTTTTTCCACCAATATAATTCCAGTGATTTTTCAAAAATATGGACAAGGTACTCTTAGCAAGAACTTCTTTCACTCTGCTTACGATTGTTGCTCACGTTTGGAGGAATGATATTTTGAAAATACTGACTGAAATTATCAAGCATTTCAGAATAAAGATTATTTTCGGTTGGTATCTTAGTTCTTAGAAGGTGAAGAGAGATTAATTCATATATGAATTGAATTTTTCCCAGACATTTTGCATGTTAAAATGATGTTTGATTAGTAAACTTGGAATAAATCGTTTATAAAATGTGAATGTGATCGATTAGTAATTTTAAATTGAGAACAGTTATAAGAAGAAAGTAAATTTGGAAATGGCAAATGCCGACATAAACCTTGAAATGACTTGTGCTCGATGTAAGTTGTACAGATCCTGTTCACAATCATACATGTATATGAATCTGTAAATTTTTGGAATAAACCTGTTTACTGATTGTAAATAAGTAGTATGAAATATTACTCAAAATAGTGGAAGAGAAGTCAGTAAAGACAATGTAAAACAGACTTAAAAATTTCCTAAATTCAATAAAGTAAAACATCACTTTTAGTCACACAGTTTACAATGTTCTCAACAGGGATATTCAGTTTGTCTATATAATCAAGTATTAGTTTAATGGAGGTGATATTGTATAAAATCCATTCACCGTTACTTCGCTTTAATTGGTCATAATTGTTTATCATTATTCCCATATTTATCCCATTTCAAATACTGATTATAATGCTGATTTGATACTGTTATTGATTATTTAATAGTTGTATATCAATTAACTGACTACTGATTTAAAAATGATAAGTAATAACTAATTATGTCATTTAGTATAGAGATCTAATGAATGGGTATTATGTATTGATGGTTAGAATGTTCATCGACATCATTAAAATGGTATGGAGTTGTTTTTGATGTGAGATCGATATAAAGTCAATTATACTTACATGGTAAACAATAATGCACTTACCTATTACGTAATGAGTAACGAAAATGATGAAATCTTCAATATTATTTTTATCTATGTGGAATGTCACACTATGTGTCTACTATGCATATTGTTGACACTGTAATGTGTTTTCGATTGCGTTCTAGGTGGAACGATTCTACTGTAGATGTTCTTTACTTTTACATTTACTGATTGCTTGCTCGATCTTCCATCAACAAATACAGTTTAGTTAAGTAAATGAAGGAAATAACTATATTGGAACCTGATTCTTCCTCTCCTGATTGATTTAAAATGAATGATTGTCTATGATCAGTAGTGTTATATTACATCATTCTACATGTTTTATCGTAGTATGAGACTCTTCAACAATATTCATCAACGAACCAATCAGGGATCGAAACGTAGTGAGTATTTAACTTTCAGATCACGATGTTATGGTCGGAAAATTTGTTTTCCTAAATTCAGTCATATCGCCATATTTCACGATTATCATCGATTCTCAGTGGTGATGCTTATCTTACAACCAACATGGTCACAAATTTCCGCTAGAATTCTGCAAAATACATTTGGAATTCAGTCACGTGTTAGCACATGATGGTCATGATTATAGTGTGTTGTAGGAATTGTTCTGAGTGAATTTTCATAACATGGACTGAAATCTATTATTCTATTGCAAATATTTACGGACATCGTTTCCTGGATTGTAGGAATTTTCATTGTTTACTCCATGTGCTGGTATCCATACAAAATCTTACTGCAATTGAATCTAATGTAGTCTTAGTCAAATCTTTCGATCGCATAAATTCCCCAACGATTACTCATAACTAGATGTTTCATTACATCTTTCAACTTTGCAAGCCATTGGAAACCAATAGCTAAAGGTTCATTGATGAACTTGTGAACTGGATCTGCGATACTCAAGTTGCACTTAACTGGTCATCTCATACTCCTATTTCACACATGATTTGTCTTATGTTTATAAGTTCTAACTTGTTGTGTAACTTTTTATTAAAGTAGTCTTCATTACATTCCACTTAATAAAGATAAATTCGGTTGGCAAGTTCGCGCTATTTAAATAACAAAAAAAATGTTCCAGATCGTAAATATTTTAAATGAGCTTCATTAGTAATGTTTTTCAATATATAACTTAGACGTATTCATCGCTCTAATATCATGTCCCCTACAGCAATGTTGGATTGGAGGTGCAAAGGATTGGTTGGATTGATTGCTGAGAATCTCGATCAGAAATCTGTAATAAATTGTCAATTTTTATTGAAGCCTATTTTCAGTTAAATTTTCTATAGGGACAGTTAATGTGACAGACGTCGTTCTACAACTGATAATTTTTGCTCTAATGAATATCATGAAAGATTGTATGGGTCAAAATTGTTCACAATAGCTGACTTGTCCTCACTGCTAGTGTTCACCATGTAAACTACATGTTCTCAGTACCCAAGTTAAAATAATGATGATATAAAATTTGAGATTAATATCCTTCTCTTCTATTAAATTCGACCAACCCAATTTATACAGCTACGAAAGAAATTTTAAGGCAACAGAGCAATTTTTCGTTTCATATTTAAGACCTGCTCAGCTGAACCTATTTACGGAGCATTACATAATGGTGGATAAACAGACTTTTTAATGTTGATCAATATAAAACTCCTTGGAATCTTGAAAATTGAACAGACACTCATTTATGTTACTACGATATATGGTAGGTCATGTCAGTGGGAAATGCTCGGCAGATTTTCAAATAGCTCTCTTTCTGGAGTACATCAATACCAGAAAATACCTCCAAAGATTCAGTGATTGGTTTCATTATTGAAGTCGTCCATTTTGATAGTAAATCCTGACAATGGTCGCACTAACATCACGGAATATTTTAGTGGCCCTGGAATATCTGACTCCAATTTGATCATGTGATTATCGATATCGATTTATACATATGGTCAATCCTTGTATATAATTATCGACTTGACTCGCCTCACTGAATAACTAAATTAAAGAAATTCAAATGCGAGAACAGATGTTTGAATACGTATATCTTATACAATTGTTGGAGGGAGCAGACAATCAGAGAAACGAAACGAAGAGGTGAGTGCGAAGCAAGTCGGATTGGAGATGGCATGTTAGCCAATTCACTAATTAAGCGTTACTCAATATTTATAGTCAAATGGGATCAAGGTGATGTGAGACAAAGTAAAGTTAGGCAAAGGAAGGGAGCGAAGTGGGGCGAGGCGAGGTGAGGCGAATAATTAACAAGGTCAAAATGTGACTCGAGAAGATTGAATAGACTGGTCTGTACAGAGACTAGAATAACCTATGTGGGCTCGACATAGGGCCAGTTACTACAAGTTATTGGCATGCTTTGTATTGTATCAGTCAGAGTTGTTTATTAACACCATATCGATTCGACAGTGTATCTAAGATCAATAATAAAAACTGGAGTGACACGATAAATATTTTATTATAACTATTCTGATTTCAAGTATGTGACAGCAGAACCGAAACGTTTCGGCAGTGAACCATTCATGTGTTTCATTGGTGTTTTACATACAATTGCAAGACTGCTTTTTATATACCATGAGTAATGACTTTGACCGCATGGAATACATTGCCTATTTCAACGGTGGATGTGATTAATTTACTAAATACTGATTTTAACATGTATACGACCGAACCATTGTTACCAGAGGAATGGGTGAAATTTCATCGAATCCTAGTGTAAGTAATACGTTTAATTAACCAATAAAATAGTTTTAATACAAAACGTTGAGTTTATAGTGTTTCAAGTTGACAATTCCTGATTCTCAAGCATGGAATACTCAACTAGTTAGTCGTAGTAACATTATTAAATTGTGGGTAATATTGTGAAATTATCAACTGAAGACTATTTGTATGTTGTCTATTGAATTAAGAATTTGATCTTTATTATTCTATATATAATAAGTATGAAATTATAATTATTTCAGTAGGATTAATGGAAGGATGAAAGGATACTCACATAAATGAGGCAAATAGAATTTGTAGATCACCAACGTAGATGATCAATGTCGAATGATTGGACGGCCTACTGAAGTTCGACGGGAACAGATAACATCGAAGTCAAACCCCGTGATCAGCACCCGAAAAAAAAACAATTGAAGTATCAACAAGATTTATTTCTTACAAAAAATAAATGTACTTTATATTCCCACTTATTTGAATGACCATAACAACACTTACTCAATGAAATTCTCACAGTAATGAGAGAAAACCAATACGTGTGAACGTATTGATAATCTATTGAGAGAATTGTGAAGAACAAGTAATTTTATCTAATCTAAAATATGAACAATGGAATATACTTTTGCAATGTTCCCATAAGATTTTAAATTTTATTTCGTATATATTATTAGTATAAATTCACTTGATATTGTTTTGGCTTGTATCTTCCCATTGAGGTTTAACACTGCAATCGGTCAGTATGTTATTGGCATATGTGCATACTGTGCGTATGCCTCGATATTGGCTTAATTCACAAGCTTTTTGTAAGCCTGACTGACATAAGTAATGTCAAAACAAGTTACTTAACATGTGTATGTATAGGTGAAGAAAACACATCTTATTACTATCTATCATCCAGGCAACATATTACTTAACCAAAATAACTCTACTGTTATACTACTTAATAAAAACATTCATCCTTAGCCAAATTTGTACTATTAAACATATATGAGAATAACAATTAAAAACACACGTAGTATTTGCAATGAGAAAACTGAGGTAATACAATTAAGAAGATGTAGATAAACAAATGGAGGAATGGATGAACTCAGATAATTCACACAAACGCAAATAAAAAGGCATTGAAATCATTATGTAAAATCATTGCAACAACATACTAAACGAAAGTAAATGTATAACATACTGATAATATACATTCTGATAACTTTTGTCTACTGTGTGAACACCAACAGAAAACTTGATAAAAACAGCCTAGAAATACTCAAACTGCATAGAAAATACAGACAGGATTTAGTTGATTGTAAAGTTGATGGACAACCTCCAGCTAAATATATGTCACCATTGGTAAATCACTCACTATTCAATAATTTCTTCAAATAATATACATAACGTTTATTTGTAGAAATGGAATTACGATCTGGCTGAACAAGCACAAACATTGGCGAACAAATGCATCTCGAGTTACAGCACAGTTAGTTCGTATAAATTCATTAGAGTTGGACAAAATTTTGCTATCTGTACAACCGTTAATTCGTAAGCTCATTTCTATTCAATTCACTGTTTTCTGATTCAGAGCAGTAGATTCTTGGTTCAATGAGCACAAATTATACGACTACGATCAGAAAAACCGTATAGAAAGTTTGCGTTACACACAAGTAAGTCAATTCTCATCCACTTCTACATCGTTCAACATAACCACAGTCATTCGCCACTCATCATTCACACCTATTATAATGCACCACGAATGTGTGATAACAATCAAGTGGTTTCACTTTTCTACAGGAGTGACTGAAAAACACATGTGTATGCACGTAATCCGATCATTGCAGTTATGCACACAGGTATCCACAACACTTGATCATATTTGAGTATGTGTGTTTTGTTGATAGTTGAGGTGATTCGGTGGAAAACAACAGATCGGAAATTTGTCTGTGACCAGCATGTACTAAGACTGACGAGTGCATTCAAATCCTAATCAATCTGTCAACAGCAGAGTGAACACACAAACACAATATTGCAATCTACTCAACAGAAATTCATTGTGTATATATGGAAGATGACGATGTTGTGATGGGTGAGATGATTTCGACTGTTGGTTGACGTGAGACAGATTGAGTGGTGAGTGAGTGAGATAGTGATTGATTGATTGATTGATTGATTGAGTGAGTGAGTGTTCTTTAGAATTCAACTAGTTATCATAACTGCACCCAGTGTAAACATACTCATTCAACACATACTGGCATTTCCACGTGTATCTCCTTCAGTTGACAACATTATCTCCATCGTTCACAAGTAATGAATTTACACACAGGTCATGTTGAAACATAATGCAAAGGCCTTGCAATTGGCCTACCGATCGATCACATTATTTCCTTGTTCACATTCCGTTTCAGATGGTTTGGGCCAATACCACAGACATTGGATGTGGAGTTGCGAGTTGTCCAAAATACGGTCTATCAGTCGTTTGTCATTATGGTCCAGGGTAAGTGATTGCTCTTGATGATGTGAGAATAAATAACATTGTTTGCAATCACCTTGTTGTTGTTCTCATAGTGAATGTAACTGATGATTTCTATTGTGTTGACTGTTTTAGTGGTAATTGGTATAATGAGCAACCATATGAAGTGAAATCACGTGAATCGTGCCCAAAATTGCAGAATATTCATAATGACGGTTTTCGAACGATGCGTGATAATACACAGCGTGCACCATTATCAAAGGTGAATATCAACCCAAAGTTGTCATCGACCGGTTCAAGTGGAAGTAGAGTTCACGACAAACGCCTACAAAATCAATGTTTACCCATAAATTATATTGAAAATAATCGTCGCAATACACAGAATATATGGATGTCCGGAAAGAAAGCTGAACACAAGCTTTCGAAGAGCGTTCGTGGTGGAAGTGGTCATGGCTTTGTACAAGGACAGCATAATGGTAAAATAGTACGACACAGAAATTGATTAAATTTATTCGGCATATATAATTGGTGCCTCCATATCTATTACACGTATCTGTTTTTCAACTGCGGTTTCACTTCTGTAACGCAAACACTTCTCTGAATTTATACTCATTACTTACTTCCATTGATGTGCAGGACTATTTTGTGTTGATATTACTCAACTATATCTGTGTGTGTAGCAATTAGTCATAACTTATAATTGAATATATTTCATTCAAATCATATTGTTTTGTGTTTTGTAATTCATGTGGTGAGTGAGAAACGATGTTGGCAAGGGTCATTGGAATGATACATTTGATGAATACGTTCATTATGTGTTGATTATTTCATCTTTGTATGTGTATTGTGTGTTGACTGGATTTCACGTTCATTCAGCTCATCAATGTAATTAGTAACTATAATCACTTCATTCAATATTAAACATGTAATTCAACAGTAAATCCTTAACTTAAAATATATCTAAACTAAATTCTCCTATTCCCTATACACAACATCATTATGTCTAGTTTAATGATATTTTCGTTTGAGAAACTATGAATCTTTACAAAGACTAACTACCTGATCATGCATAAGTATATCGTTTCGGTTAAGTCAGTGTTGATAAACGGTTCGTCAGATAGACAACATTCCCCATAGAGTGGGAAGTATGTATGTTCACTGAATGATTTGTATGTGATCATATACAACTTACCATTTCTTTACAAGATAATGAAATATTCATGCATAACCAGTACGGTGAAATCACTTCCTTAAAGTTAAGCAGCACAATAGGATACTAGATAACATACAAGAAATGATAGTTTGTAAAATTAGGTGTGTAGTAGTAATATCAACAGCACGTGACTTCTTCACATAAACATTCGGTTAAAATGTTTGATGTGAACTAATGACCAAAGGCATGAAAGGGACCGAATGCAGACTACACCATGATAGATGTTATTTGATGTAGTTTTCAATACAGAATATCGGAAATTACGCAGACGTGTCATTGCAGTACTGTGTTGATGTGATTTTCATCCAATTAGTTAGAGTGAACAGCTTCACATCTAGAATGATGTATTGTAACACTACTGAACATAGACAATCGTTATGTGTGTAGTAAGAATTGATCATCATTCAGCTATGGTATTAGGGATTTCTGGATTGGGTGATGGTTAAATTCACTTGGTATTGTTTGTTTGAATCATGAATCATCATGAGATCACATTTTTGAAGGATATCCGGACTTATCACAAAATCACACACTACATCTCATACTCAGCATACTCCATGTGCATTCAACAATACATGAATGATGTATCTTGAATAGAACATCACATTCAAATCAATTAATGTTATATTGAATAAAATATGAACACAGGCAAATCAAAACACATTTCACTCTGAATAATCAGTAGATTGAACTCAGGACCTTGTGAGTCGCACGTGAACATTTATTCTCTAGATCACTGAGCTAGCATCCAACCGTGGTAATGTTTAACTTCGACAGATCCATGATTATGCGCAACGTGTAATTGACTTTTCAAAGTGTAAATAATTATTAGTAATTAATGAAACATTAAGAACGGCAACGTGTTTGCACAGTTCTCGAAAGTCTCAAAACCAGAAGAAACGTTTTACTGAGACTTACTCATTTTTGAATAATTTTGTGGTGAGAAGTGGGTTTTGAGAATAAGTTTTATAATTTATTCCTAAGTCTGTTGAAGTAATTCCTGAATACGTTATCTTCTACTATGAATAATTCATTTATATAAAACAAATCATCTGATGTCTCATCTACTGTTACGCATATTCTAATTGACATCAAAGAGTGACTTTTTTGATTTATTTGGTGTCACTGAGGGTGTAAAGAATTCAAGTATTAACGTTGAGACTAATTGTAACTTAGCCTCGTTTATCAATCGCGTTGATAACCGCTATTACATTAATCCCACTGGTTTTTGTATTCAGAAGACAATAAGAAGCGGCGACCACAGTTTATTAACGGATAGCACAGATAACAAAATTACAAGCACATCGATCGCATTGGTGCAGAGAGGCTAATTTGTGTGTGTGTGTGTGGGTGTGTGAGCAAATACAAGGACCAATTGATAGTCAAATCGAATTAAGGAACAGCAGGTCAACAAGGCAAGACGGGACAAGACAAGGCAAAGAAACGTCTAATAACCGGATTCAATCATTTATATACATGGGAAAGAGAATGATTCATCGAGCGATAATTAAACCATCACCATTTATGATTGAGGAATAATATTATCCGACCGGCAATTTTTGTATTTTTTTAAACTCCCCCACCCCAATAAAATTGTTTTCCACCCCCAAATTACAATATTTTTCATCCCGTGTTTCGTCCAATGAAATGGCTAGTTTAAAAAGTTAGATTTAATTGGTTAGTTATGTCTTGAAAATTGTTATAAATTATCAGTACTTGTCGACGAAGTACATTTCAATCGGCATTATGGAGGAGAGTAACGTGCCGAGTACAAGTGCTGTTGTTTCTTACGTAACAAAAATGGAGGAAGTCTTTTTGACTACCTTGTTTCTGGTTGCGTTTCCATCGGTTGAAGCGTTAAAGACCACTATCACAAATTTTGAAAGATCGACTTGCAGTCATTATGTAGTGAGAGATTCGCATATTGGCAGAGATGAAAACTCGTATATTAAATTTGTGTGCTGGAGACATGGCTGTATAACATCTAGCGGTTCGTCACGGCGGATCAGACGGAGGAGGTAATTTTATTAATGTTATTAACATTTTGTAAAGGGTACGATCAGAAGTGATACAGCTATTTTTTCGCCTGATGTTTACTCAAACGGTTGAAAGGTAAATCAAAAGCAACATAACATTATTTTGTAGTTTTAACAATGTATTATTCTTGATCGAAATATCGGACGGAACGTTTGCCTGATATGTCAGAGACCACCTATTACCGAGAAAACACAAAGGGTTTACAGCTTTTCGACCATTAGCAACGCTACTTCAACTCAATAATACGAACTTTGCTGAGACAAGTCATCGAATTTCGAAGATGCATCAACTGAGTCGAAAAACACCTGTGCTGAGATCTATTTTTAGTGTGCTACTTCGCGTTGGATATTGGATGGAAGCAAGATTACAGAAATATACATCAGATTGCCGGATAAAAGCCAACATCGGTCAAGAGCCAGCAATGCGTGAACTTCAGGAACGACTGACACCAGCTGCATGTCAAGTACTGAAGCGGCACCTGCGCACTCCTATGACGGAGTTTGTAATGTCTGTTGACTTATTCATGGCTGTTGACGCAACAGGGACTTACAATGTACACCGAAATTCCATGCGCTACTCCTGTTCATTTTCCACTGAAAACGGTTTGCCATGTCGGCGCATATTGGCTTACTGTACACACAGTATTACTGATGTGAACGTACAGTCAATTTGTGATAGATGGTTACACTCTGAAACTTATCTGATTCATATTGCAGTTGAGAATTATTTCCCAATGCAGTTGAGCCAGCCGAGCATGAAGAATACAGTGATTGCGTTAGTCAGGCGACTGTCTGAGGAACAGTGCAGTTCAATTTATAGCCAATTTTATCAAGAACTTCACGGTAGACTATCACCAACGCCGTAGAACTTACAGGCAGAATCGCAGTTGTACGCTGGAACAAGAACTGTTGGGATATTCAGGAAAATATCCCAGAAATTATCCTATTAAGCCTAATGCTATTCTTGGACTTGGAGATGGTATTATTTACTCATTGGTCAGTACTTGTTTCACGTGTCATTTTCTTACTGGTCAATATTGTACAATGTTATTTTCTATTTTATAGTACGTTGTGGTCTGCTTGACTGGTATATAAACAAAGTATGTTTGAAATATAATGATTCATATATCTGAGGCTGAGACTTGCGTTTTGGACTCAACTACTGGGCTAGATAGGGAAGCGGGACCAATCAGAACCCTAGGTCGTTCTACGTGTTTGCGCGTCTTTGGTTCGATCGATAATTCGCTACCCTCTAATCAGCTGCCGTGTCACAGTTATAACAAGAACCTCGACTAACGTTACAACACCGTTGATGCACCGAGGAAATGTCAATTTGGATGAAACGTTAAGTAACGACGAGGATGAAGTAGTTTCTATAAACTCCGAAGAGTTAACAGAACGGGACATCGAAAATGAAGAAGAAGATGAAGGGAACCGTTTGTGTGACATCTGTAATCTTGCACAGCCGCCGTGTGAAACTGGTGATGCCGTTGCGTTGGGTTTCCTGTCCTTGTGAAGCAATGTTTCATAGATTCTGTGCTTATGACCCATCACCGAACGTACGAGCAGTCCACTGTCCGATGTGTGGCGCCATTACCAACCAATAGTTTGGACGTCCCACCGCGAGAACGATTAAAGGCCCTTTTCAGGGCCAACCACCTAAATACTGACCCCACAACACTGTTGATCCTATGCACGGATGCTTCATAAAAAGGCGTCGGGACAGTATGACAACAGCGGGTAAACGACACGATTACCCCAATTGCCTTTTTCTCCAAGAGATTATCGCCAGCACAGGAACGTTATAGTACTTTTGGACGTGAACTTCTTGCTATGTATTTAGCCGTAAAACATTTCAACTTCTTGCTACAGTGTCGTGATTTCATCATTATGACAGATCATAAACCCCTTAGCCATTCTTTTAGCACATCGTATGACAAACAATCCCCACGAGAAGCAAGACAACTTGATTATATCTCCCAATTTACTACAGACATCAGGTTTATCAAAGGTCACACAAACATTGTCGCAGATGCACTATCTAGGAGGGATATCAATACGATGGTACTCAATCATGACATCAGCCTTAAAACCTTGGCTAAACTTCAAGTAGACGATGCAGAATTGAAAGTCTGCAAAGAAAAGTCTGGCTTAAATCCCGAACCTGTACCAATTCCTCTTTCAGATGCATTCATCATGTGCGACACCTCAACAGGCAACAATCGTCCGTTTGTCCCACACGCCTGCCGACGAAAAATATTTCAGCACTTGCACGGTCTTTCACATCCAGGCATCAGAGCAACAACAAAGCTCATTACCGAAAGTTTTGTGTGGCCGAAAATCAACTCGGATGTTAAACGTTGGACACGTAGCTGCCTCCAGTGCCAACGCAGTAAGACGCAGAAACACACCTCCAGTCCAATTGGGAAGTTCCCTATCCCTGACAAACGTTTCCAGCACGTGCATTTAGATTTAGTTGAGCCTCTGCCACCATCGAACTATTTCACACATATCCTCACAGCAATAGGTAGGTTCACAAGATGGGCCATAGCATTCCCCATTAAAGATACATCGGCAGAGACAGTGGCTTCAGTTTTCCTCGATCGCTGGATATCCAACTATGGCGTACCATCAACAATCACAACAGATCGTGGTCCCCAATTCCAATCTGTCCTATTTCACGGGTTCACTAAAGTTCTTGGCGTAAATCATGTCAAAACGACAGCTTATCATCCGGCAGCTAATGGCATGGTCGAAAGATTCCATCGCCAACTAAAAAGCTCTCTGATGGCACAACCGGACTCTTCAAAATGGAGCGATGCTTTACCACTCGTACTCCTTGGGATTCGCTCGTCAGTAAAGGAAGACATCGGATGCACGGCCGTTGAACTAGTCTATGGCACGACATTAACGTTACCAGGACAACTGGTCAAGAATGAACATATAACTCCATGAGACCCTTCTCGTTTTGTAAGCAGATTACTATAAATGATGTAGAACATCAAAGCAATACCACCTTGAGAATACAACAACCGAGTCCATCTTGATAAACATTTAGAAACGTGCACATTTGTTTTTGTTCGAGTAGACACGGTAAAAAAAGCCACTGACACCACCATATGAAGGCCCTTATAAAGTATTAAAACGCACTCACAAATATTTCATTATCAACAAAAATGGAAACAATGAGACAATTTCCATAGACCGAATAAAACCAGCTTTCTATGAAGTCCTTCAAGACACAGACGACAATACTGCGAACAAACAATCACTCTCATCAATTGCTAAGAAACAAGCGGAAGAGGATAAACTTAGCACACTTAACACCCTCTTGTTTAACACGTTCTGGGAGACTTATAAAAAAACCAAAGCGTTACGTACATTTTGCCGTATAAAAAAAACCCCAACGAACTAAAACAATCAAAGCAAACAATTATCGAGGACCTACACAGTGTACATAATTAATCACATTTTTCCACAATTATTCGTTTTGTCACATTTTTGTTGTTGTTACAATAATAAACGAGTAATTATATATTCATTGTACACAAAAATAAACAGTTCAATTCTTTTTTTTTTCTTGTGGCTCATTAACAATTTTACACATTATTATCATTGTTAGCCAAACAAGACATTAAATGACAGTGTTTTCATTTTTTTTTTCTTTTTGTGTTCGTTACGCTATGCTACAATACTGCTATTCTCAAACGATAACACACTGCTGCATCTTACTAACGTATATGTCATATCCATTTACACAATTTTTTGTTGGTTATAACTGTAAATATTATTTTTGTATATATGTATATATCATATTCCTATGTCTTTTTGTTGTTGTTATTATAACCAGTGTTACCTCCGGACACTCTGGGGGGGGAGCTATGTGGAAATAGGTTTGACAAGCTTATTTTGTACATAGTTTTTAATATTATTTGTATTTATTTTGCCAATGATTGTACCTGTTGTTTTAGTAAATGACCTTGAACACTTTTTCCGTTGTGGTACTAATATAGCGTGACACACTTGTGGTTGTTCACAAATACACTACTACACACACACACACACACACACACACACTCCTTGTTCTATTCTCACTCGTTATCGAGCCAATTGCATTCTAAATAGAATATTATCCACATTTTAGAGTGTTGTGCCATTTCTATGACATCCTACGTCAAGGAAATTTACTGGAGTCACATTTACCTCATCGGTGTTATTACTCATTTATAATTGTGGATTTTGGTACCAAAACTCAACGGAATACGCGACAACTAGCTGATTTAAGTAATTTCCCTGAACTTTTATTTTGTGTTACTAATTTATAAATTATTAGTGTTACATTAACTTTTGGACGTGATAACTTTATTGCTAATTTTTAGTTAAAATACATTTTGGTCCACCACAAGTCTTAGTCAAATCTTTCGATTGCATAAATTCCACAACGATTACTCATAACTAGATGTTTCATTACATCTTTCAACTTTGCAAGCCATTGGAAACCAATAGCTAAAGGTTCATTGATGAACTTGTGAACTGGATCTGCGATACTCAAGTTGCACTTAACTGGTCATCTCATACTCCTATTTCACACATGATTTGTCTTATGTTTATAAGTTCTAACTTGTTGTGTAACTTTTTATTAAAGTAGTCTTCATTACATTCCACTTAATAAAGATAAATTCGGTTGGCAAGTTCGCGCTATTTAAATAACAAAAAAAATGTTCCAGATCGTAAATATTTTAAATGAGCTTCATTAGTAATGTTTTTCAATATATAACTTAGACGTATTCATCGCTCTAATATCATGTCCCCTACAGCAATGTTGGATTGGAGGTGCAAAGGATTGGTTGGATTGATTGCTGAGAATCTCGATCAGAAATCTGTAATAAATTGTCAATTTTTATTGAAGCCTATTTTCAGTTAAATTTTCTATAGGGACAGTTAATGTGACAGACGTCGTTCTACAACTGATAATTTTTGCTCTAATGAATATCATGAAAGATTGTATGGGTCAAAATTGTTCACAATAGCTGACTTGTCCTCACTGCTAGTGTTCACCATGTAAACTACATGTTCTCAGTACCCAAGTTAAAATAATGATGATATAAAATTTGAGATTAATATCCTTCTCTTCTATTAAATTCGACCAACCCAATTTATACAGCTACGAAAGAAATTTTAAGGCAACAGAGCAATTTTTCGTTTCATATTTAAGACCTGCTCAGCTGAACCTATTTACGGAGCATTACATAATGGTGGATAAACAGACTTTTTAATGTTGATCAATATAAAACTCCTTGGAATCTTGAAAATTGAACAGACACTCATTTATGTTACTACGATATATGGTAGGTCATGTCAGTGGGAAATGCTCGGCAGATTTTCAAATAGCTCTCTTTCTGGAGTACATCAATACCAGAAAATACCTCCAAAGATTCAGTGATTGGTTTCATTATTGAAGTCGTCCATTTTGATAGTAAATCCTGACAATGGTCGCACTAACATCACGGAATATTTTAGTGGCCCTGGAATATCTGACTCCAATTTGATCATGTGATTATCGATATCGATTTATACATATGGTCAATCCTTGTATATAATTATCGACTTGACTCGCCTCACTGAATAACTAAATTAAAGAAATTCAAATGCGAGAACAGATGTTTGAATACGTATATCTTATACAATTGTTGGAGGGAGCAGACAATCAGAGAAACGAAACGAAGAGGTGAGTGCGAAGCAAGTCGGATTGGAGATGGCATGTTAGCCAATTCACTAATTAAGCGTTACTCAATATTTATAGCCAAATGGGATCAATGTGATGTGAGACAAAGCAAAGTTAGGCAAAGGAAGGAAGCGAAGTGGGGCGAGGCGAGGTGAGGCGAATAATTAACAAGGTCAAAATGTGACTCGAGAAGAATGAATAGACTGGTCTGTACAGAGACTAGAATAACCTATGTGGGCTCGACATAGGGCCAGTTACTACAAGTTCTTGGCATGCTTTGTATTGTATCAGTCAGAGTTGTTTATTAACACCATATCGATTCGACAGTGTATCTAAGATCAATAATAAAAACTGGAGTGACACGATAAATATTTTATTATAACTATTCTGATTTCAAGTATGTGACAGCAGAACCGAAACGTTTCGGCAGTGAACCATTCATGTGTTTCATTGGTGTTTTACATACAATTGCAAGACTGCTTTTTATATACCATGAGTAATGACTTTGACTGCATGGAATACATTGCCTATTTCAACGGTGGATGTGAATAATTTACTAAATACTGATTTTAACATGTATACGACCGAACCATTGTTACCAGAGGAATGGGTGAAATTTCAGCGAATCCTAGTGTAAGTAATACGTTTAATTAACCAATAAAATAGTTTTAATACAAAACGTTGAGTTTATAGTGTTTCAAGTTGATAATTCCTGATTCTCAAGCATGGAATACTCAACTAGTTAGTCGTAGTAACATTATTAAATTGTGGGTAATATTGTGAAATTATCAACTGAAGACTATTTGTAGGTTGTCTATTGAATTAAGAATTTGATCTTTATTATTCTATATATAATAAGTATGAAATTATAATTATTTCAGTAGGATTAATGGAAGGATGAATGGATACTCACATAAATGAAGCAAATAGAAGTTGTAGATCACCAACATAGATGATCAATGTCGAATGATTGGGGGGCCTACTGAAGTTTGACGGTAACAGATAACTTCGAAGTCACACCCCGTGATCAGCACCCGAAAAAAAAACAATTGAAGTATCAACAAGATTTATTTCTTACAAAAAATAAATGTACTTTATATTCCCACATATTTGAATGACCATAACAACACATACTCAATGAAATTCTCACAGTAATGAGAGAAAACCAATGCGTGTGAACGTATTGATAATCTATTGAGAGAATTGTGAAGAACAAGTAATTTTATCTAATCTAAAATATGAACAATGGAATATACTTTTGCAATGTTCCCATAAGATTTTAAATTTTATTTCGTATGTATTGTTAGTATAAATTCACTTGATATTGTTTTGGCTTGTATCTTCCCATTGAGGTTTAACACTGCAATCGGTCAGTCTGTTATTGGCATATGTGCATACTGTGCGTATGCCTCGATATTGCCTTAATTCACAAGCTTTTTGTAAGCAATGATGCACATATACCAATAACAGACTGATCAATTGCAGTGTTAAACCTCAATGGGAGGATACCAGCCAAAACAATATCAAGTGAATTTAAATTCACCCCATTGCACAAACAAGTTGCAATCATGAGTCAGTAGCTGAATGGGTAACATGATGGCGTTTGAAGCGAACGGTACTGGGTTCGGGTCCCAAAGTGAAAATCAACTCAGATGCAGGTACATCCAGCTGACGAGTCCCAGGTAGGACGGAACGCGCGGTTTGGAATCCACTTTCAGCCACTACCCATCATTGCTTACAAAAATAATGTTAGTATAGTTATAATCGATTGATCACTGAGTAGTAACTAATGTTATTCATAGATTAGACCCATATCTAAATGACTCAAGTTATACCCGTCTCATTAATATTGAACTGATCTCTTGCACACGAGTGTCAAATAGCGTGAAACGTAAATGAAGAAGAATTTCCTGACGACTACCTTGAACCAAATAAAAACAAAACATTCTGTGTACTAGATGTTCAATCATTTAGACTGATGAAAAACATTATAATTCGATAGACAGATATTGATTAGCAATTTGTTCAAAATATCCATTTAATAAAAGAGATTGTTCATCTAAAGCTGTTATTATCAACATAGAGAAAATATAAAACCTAAACAAATCAGTGGCTAACTGATATATTTAGTATAAATAGCTATTCAAACTAGTAATATGTTTAAAAGTGTACTCTTTTTAAACACGGGTAAATACATTTAATTGAACGTTAATTCAACGAAAGAATTAACTGAAATCATAAGTCAATTGAATCTAGATCACCATGGAAAACCTGGAAGCACTGAACGGTCGTTTCGTCCTAGTATGGGACTCCTCAACAGTGTGCATCCACGATCCTGCACCCCGCGAGATCCATACCAAACACCTATCAGTCTCTCACCAGGTGCTTAACCAACTAGACCACTGAGCCGGCATCCAATGGTGTTCGTCTCTAACCTCAACCAATCCACGAGAGACTGATAGGTCCTGGGTTTGAATCTCGCGGGGTGCATGATCGTGGATGCTCACTGCTGAAGAGTTCCATACTAGGATGAAACGACCGTCCAGTTCTTTCAGGTTTTCCATGTTGCTCTAGCTCCAATTGACTCATGATTTCAATCATAAACTTAATAATCTCCACAACCCCTAAAAATCTGAAAGAATTAAACTCAAAGATTATTAGAAGATATCAGGATGTATGTATACAGTTTAGTTTTTAATATGTCAGTCTAGACTAGCTTCCTTCCAACCTACTCCTACACCACAGAAAGCTAGGGGCGGCCAGACCAAAACGTGGAACAAGTCCATAAAGTCACTGACAAGTGGACTGAGTCATGTTGGCAGATGTAGACTACCTGGTTGGGGACCGCGAGATGATAGCAACCGATGGTTAGCGACCCTGAATGACATGGCTCAAAATCTTTTGCAATGGCGCAGGAGCATACACTCTTTGTGTTCTCCCAAATTTTAATCTCCTGATTCTTACTTGTCTCTGACTTCTCTCCTCAAATTTATTTCATTGGATTATCCTCTTTAAATAACATCTCCCAACCCTAATCTTCCCGTTTACTGCCTATACTCTTACTAACTCTATCACAACGGTATTTGAATCGACAACTGCATCTCTGTGCTAATATGGTATGGCAACTCGAACTAGTGTACGTACGTACGAATTTCTACATTGTTACTGCCTGACTGACATAAGTAATGTCAAAACAAGTTACTTAACATGTGTATGTATAGGTGAAGAAAACACATCTTGTTACTATCTATCATCCAGGCAACATATTACTTAACCAAAATAACTCTACTGTTATACTACTTAATAAAAACATTCATCCTTAGCCAAATTTGTACTATTAAACATATATGAGAATAACAATTAAAAACACACGTAGTATTTGCAATGAGAAAACTGAGGTAATACAATTAAGAAGATGTAGATAAACAAATGGAGGAATGGATGAACTCAGATAATTCACACAAACGCAAATAAAAAGGCATTGAAATCATTATGTAAAATCATTGCAACAACATACTAAACGAAAGTAAATGTATAACATACTGATAATATACATTCTGATAACTTTTGTCTACTGTGTGAACACCAACAGAAAACTTGATAAAAACAGCCTAGAAATACTCAAACTGCATAGAAAATACAGACAGGATTTAGTTGATTGTAAAGTTGATGGACAACCTCCAGCTAAATATATGTCACCATTGGTAAATCACTCACTATTCAATAATTTCTTCAAATAATATACATAACGTTTATTTGTAGAAATGGAATTACGATCTGGCTGAACAAGCACAAACGTTGGCGAAGAAATGCACCTTGCAACTCGACACACCTGATTCAGATGAATTCCTTTGTATTGGACAAAATATTGCTCTATATCCAACCATAAAGTCGTAAGCTCATTTCTATTCAATTCACTGTTTTCTGATTCAGAGGAGTAGATGCTTGGTTCAATGAGCACAAATTATACGACTACGATCAAAACAACTATATGCAATGTTTGCATTACACACAAGTAAGTCCATTCTCATCCACTTCAACATAGTTCAACATACCCACAGTCATTTGACACTCTCCGTTCGCATTCATCATATTACGTCACGAGTGTGTGATAACAATGAAATGGTTTCACTTATCTACAGAAGTGACTGAAAAACACATGTAAATACACGTAATTCGATCATTGCAGTTATGCACACAGGTATCCACAACACTTGATCATATTTGAGTATGTGTGTTTTGTTGAGAGTTGAGGTGATTCTGTGGAAAACAATAGATCGGAAATTTGTCTCTGACCAGCATGTACTAAGACTGACGAGTGTATTCAAATCCTAATCAATATGTCAACACCAGTGTGAACACACAAACACAATATTGCAATGTACTCAACAGAAATTCATTGTGTATAGATGGAAGATGACGATGTTGTGATGGGTGAGATGAATTCGACTGTTGGTTGACATGAGACAGAATAAGTGGTGAGTGAGTGAGTGAGTGAATGAGTGAGAGAGTGATTGATTGAGTGTTCTGTAGAATTCAACTAGTTATCATAACTGCATCAAGTGTAAACATACTCATTCAACACATACTGGAATTTTCACGTGTACCTTCTTCAGTTTACAACATTATCTCCATCATTTACAAGTACTGTATTTACACACAGGTCATGTTGAAACATAGTGGAAATTCCTTGTGATTGGCCTACCGAAATATCACATTATTTCCTTGTTCACATTCTGTTTCAGATGGTTTGGGCCAATACCACAGACATTGGATGTGGGGTTGCGACTTGTTCAGAGTACGGTCTATCAATCGTGTGTAATTATGGTCCAGGGTAAGTGATTGCTCTTGATGATGTGGGAAGAGATGGTATTGTTTGCAATCACCTTGTTATTGTTCTCATGGTGAATGTAACTGAATTTCTATTGTGTTGACTGTTTTAGTGGTAATTGGACTGATGAGAAACCATATGAAGTGAAATCACGTGAATTGTGCCCAGAAAAGCAGAATAATACACAGCGTGCACCATTATCAATAGCGAATGTCAACCACAAATTGTCATCGACCGGTTCAAGTGGAAATAGAGTTCATAAAAGACGCCCAAATAGTATATGTACTCAAAATTATCTTCGTAATACACTGCGTATATGGATGTCCGGAAAGGAAAATAAACAAAAGTTTTCAAAGAGCGTTCGTGATGGAAGTGGGTATGGCTATGTACAAGGACAGCATAATGGTTGAATAGTACGATACAGAAATTGATTGAATTCATTCAGCTAATATAATTGGTGCCTCCATATCTATTACACGTATCTGTTATCAACGTTGTTTTCAATTCTGTAACCAAATACCCTATCTGATTACCTACTCATTACTTACTTCCATTGATATGCAGGACTATTTTGTGTTGATATTACTCAACTATATCTATGTGTGTAGCATTTCGTCATAACTTATAATTGAATATATTTCATTCAAATCATATTGTTTTGTGTTTTGTAATTCATGTGGTGAGTGAGAAACGATGTTGGCAAGGGTCATTGGAATGATACATTTGATGAATACGTTCATTATGTGTTGATTATTTCATCTTTGTATGTGTATTGTGTGTTGACTGGATTTCACGTTCATTCAGCTCATCAATGTAATTAGTAACTATAATCACTTCATTCAATATTAAACATGTAATTCAACAGTAAATCCTTAACTTAAAATATATCTAAACTAAATTCTCCTATTCCCTATACACAACATCATTATGTCTAGTTTAATGATATTTTCGTTTGAGAAACTATGAATCTTTACAAAGACTAACTACCTGATCATGCATAAGTATATCGTTTCGGTTAAGTCAGTGTTGATAAACGGTTCGTCAGATAGACAACATTCCCCATAGAGTGGGAAGTATGTATGTTCACTGAATGATTTGTATGTGATCATATACAACTTACCATTTCTTTACAAGATAATGAAATATTCATGCATAACCAGTACGGTGAAATCACTTCCTTAAAGTTAAGCAGCACAATAGGATACTAGATAACATACAAGAAATGATAGTTTGTAAAATTAGGTGTGTAGTAGTAATATCAACAGCACGTGACTTCTTCACATAAACATTCGGTTAAAATGTTTGATGTGAACTAATGACCAAAGGCATGAAAGGGACCGAATGCAGACTACACCATGATAGATGTTATTTGATGTAGTTTTCAATACAGAATATCGGAAATTACGCAGACGTGTCATTGCAGTACTGTGTTGATGTGATTTTCATCCAATTAGTTAGAGTGAACAGCTTCACATCTAGAATGATGTATTGTAACACTACTGAACATAGACAATCGTTATGTGTGTAGTAAGAATTGATCATCATTCAGCTATGGTATTAGGGATTTCTGGATTGGGTGATGGTTAAATTCACTTGGTATTGTTTGTTTGAATCATGAATCATCATGAGATCACATTTTTGAAGGATATCCGGACTTATCACAAAATCACACACTACATCTCATACTCAGCATACTCCATGTGCATTCAACAATACATGAATGATGTATCTTGAATAGAACATCACATTCAAATCAATTAATGTTATATTGAATAAAATATGAACACAGGCAAATCAAAACACATTTCACTCTGAATAATCAGTAGATTGAACTCAGGACCTTGTGAGTCGCACGTGAACATTTATTCTCTAGATCACTGAGCTAGCATCCAACCGTGGTAATGTTTAACTTCGACAGATCCATGATTATGCGCAACGTGTAATTGACTTTTCAAAGTGTAAATAATTATTAGTAATTAATGAAACATTAAGAACGGCAACGTGTTTGCACAGTTCTCGAAAGTCTCAAAACCAGAAGAAACGTTTTACTGAGACTTACTCATTTTTGAATAATTTTGTGGTGAGAAGTGGGTTTTGAGAATAAGTTTTATAATTTATTCCTAAGTCTGTTGAAGTAATTCCTGAATACGTTATCTTCTACTATGAATAATTCATTTATATAAAACAAATCATCTGATGTCTCATCTACTGTTACGCATATTCTAATTGACATCAAAGAGTGACTTTTTTGATTTATTTGGTGTCACTGAGGGTGTAAAGAATTCAAGTATTAACGTTGAGACTAATTGTAACTTAGCCTCGTTTATCAATCGCGTTGATAACCGCTATTACATTAATCCCACTGGTTTTTGTATTCAGAAGACAATAAGAAGCGGCGACCACAGTTTATTAACGGATAGCACAGATAACAAAATTACAAGCACATCGATCGCATTGGTGCAGAGAGGCTAATTTGTGTGTGTGTGTGTGGGTGTGTGAGCAAATACAAGGACCAATTGATAGTCAAATCGAATTAAGGAACAGCAGGTCAACAAGGCAAGACGGGACAAGACAAGGCAAAGAAACGTCTAATAACCGGATTCAATCATTTATATACATGGGAAAGAGAATGATTCATCGAGCGATAATTAAACCATCACTATTTATGATTGAGGAATAATATTATCCGACCGGCAATTTTTGTATTTTTTTAAACTCCCCCACCCCAATAAAATTGTTTTCCACCCCCAAATTACAATATTTTTCATCCCGTGTTTCGTCCAATGAAATGGCTAGTTTAAAAAGTTAGATTTAATTGGTTAGTTATGTCTTGAAAATTGTTATAAATTATCAGTACTTGTCGACGAAGTACATTTCAATCGGCATTATGGAGGAGAGTAACGTGCCGAGTACAAGTGCTGTTGTTTCTTACGTAACAAAAATGGAGGAAGTCTTTTTGACTACCTTGTTTCTGGTTGCGTTTCCATCGGTTGAAGCGTTAAAGACCACTATCACAAATTTTGAAAGATCGACTTGCAGTCATTATGTAGTGAGAGATTCGCATATTGGCAGAGATGAAAACTCGTATATTAAATTTGTGTGCTGGAGACATGGCTGTATAACATCTAGCGGTTCGTCACGGCGGATCAGACGGAGGAGGTAATTTTATTAATGTTATTAACATTTTGTAAAGGGTACGATCAGAAGTGATACAGCTATTTTTTCGCCTGATGTTTACTCAAACGGTTGAAAGGTAAATCAAAAGCAACATAACATTATTTTGTAGTTTTAACAATGTATTATTCTTGATCGAAATATCGGACGGAACGTTTGCCTGATATGTCAGAGACCACCTATTACCGAGAAAACACAAAGGGTTTACAGCTTTTCGACCATTAGCAACGCTACTTCAACTCAATAATACGAACTTTGCTGAGACAAGTCATCGAATTTCGAAGATGCATCAACTGAGTCGAAAAACACCTGTGCTGAGATCTATTTTTAGTGTGCTACTTCGCGTTGGATATTGGATGGAAGCAAGATTACAGAAATATACATCAGATTGCCGGATAAAAGCCAACATCGGTCAAGAGCCAGCAATGCGTGAACTTCAGGAACGACTGACACCAGCTGCATGTCAAGTACTGAAGCGGCACCTGCGCACTCCTATGACGGAGTTTGTAATGTCTGTTGACTTATTCATGGCTGTTGACGCAACAGGGACTTACAATGTACACCGAAATTCCATGCGCTACTCCTGTTCATTTTCCACTGAAAACGGTTTGCCATGTCGGCGCATATTGGCTTACTGTACACACAGTATTACTGATGTGAACGTACAGTCAATTTGTGATAGATGGTTACACTCTGAAACTTATCTGATTCATATTGCAGTTGAGAATTATTTCCCAATGCAGTTGAGCCAGCCGAGCATGAAGAATACAGTGATTGCGTTAGTCAGGCGACTGTCTGAGGAACAGTGCAGTTCAATTTATAGCCAATTTTATCAAGAACTTCACGGTAGACTATCACCAACGCCGTAGAACTTACAGGCAGAATCGCAGTTGTACGCTGGAACAAGAACTGTTGGGATATTCAGGAAAATATCCCAGAAATTATCCTATTAAGCCTAATGCTATTCTTGGACTTGGAGATGGTATTATTTACTCATTGGTCAGTACTTGTTTCACGTGTCATTTTCTTACTGGTCAATATTGTACAATGTTATTTTCTATTTTATAGTACGTTGTGGTCTGCTTGACTGGTATATAAACAAAGTATGTTTGAAATATAATGATTCATATATCTGAGGCTGAGACTTGCGTTTTGGACTCAACTACTGGGCTAGATAGGGAAGCGGGACCAATCAGAACCCTAGGTCGTTCTACGTGTTTGCGCGTCTTTGGTTCGATCGATAATTCGCTACCCTCTAATCAGCTGCCGTGTCACAGTTATAACAAGAACCTCGACTAACGTTACAACACCGTTGATGCACCGAGGAAATGTCAATTTGGATGAAACGTTAAGTAACGACGAGGATGAAGTAGTTTCTATAAACTCCGAAGAGTTAACAGAACGGGACATCGAAAATGAAGAAGAAGATGAAGGGAACCGTTTGTGTGACATCTGTAATCTTGCACAGCCGCCGTGTGAAACTGGTGATGCCGTTGCGTTGGGTTTCCTGTCCTTGTGAAGCAATGTTTCATAGATTCTGTGCTTATGACCCATCACCGAACGTACGAGCAGTCCACTGTCCGATGTGTGGCGCCATTACCAACCAATAGTTTGGACGTCCCACCGCGAGAACGATTAAAGGCCCTTTTCAGGGCCAACCACCTAAATACTGACCCCACAACACTGTTGATCCTATGCACGGATGCTTCATAAAAAGGCGTCGGGACAGTATGACAACAGCGGGTAAACGACACGATTACCCCAATTGCCTTTTTCTCCAAGAGATTATCGCCAGCACAGGAACGTTATAGTACTTTTGGACGTGAACTTCTTGCTATGTATTTAGCCGTAAAACATTTCAACTTCTTGCTACAGTGTCGTGATTTCATCATTATGACAGATCATAAACCCCTTAGCCATTCTTTTAGCACATCGTATGACAAACAATCCCCACGAGAAGCAAGACAACTTGATTATATCTCCCAATTTACTACAGACATCAGGTTTATCAAAGGTCACACAAACATTGTCGCAGATGCACTATCTAGGAGGGATATCAATACGATGGTACTCAATCATGACATCAGCCTTAAAACCTTGGCTAAACTTCAAGTAGACGATGCAGAATTGAAAGTCTGCAAAGAAAAGTCTGGCTTAAATCCCGAACCTGTACCAATTCCTCTTTCAGATGCATTCATCATGTGCGACACCTCAACAGGCAACAATCGTCCGTTTGTCCCACACGCCTGCCGACGAAAAATATTTCAGCACTTGCACGGTCTTTCACATCCAGGCATCAGAGCAACAACAAAGCTCATTACCGAAAGTTTTGTGTGGCCGAAAATCAACTCGGATGTTAAACGTTGGACACGTAGCTGCCTCCAGTGCCAACGCAGTAAGACGCAGAAACACACCTCCAGTCCAATTGGGAAGTTCCCTATCCCTGACAAACGTTTCCAGCACGTGCATTTAGATTTAGTTGAGCCTCTGCCACCATCGAACTATTTCACACATATCCTCACAGCAATAGGTAGGTTCACAAGATGGGCCATAGCATTCCCCATTAAAGATACATCGGCAGAGACAGTGGCTTCAGTTTTCCTCGATCGCTGGATATCCAACTATGGCGTACCATCAACAATCACAACAGATCGTGGTCCCCAATTCCAATCTGTCCTATTTCACGGGTTCACTAAAGTTCTTGGCGTAAATCATGTCAAAACGACAGCTTATCATCCGGCAGCTAATGGCATGGTCGAAAGATTCCATCGCCAACTAAAAAGCTCTCTGATGGCACAACCGGACTCTTCAAAATGGAGCGATGCTTTACCACTCGTACTCCTTGGGATTCGCTCGTCAGTAAAGGAAGACATCGGATGCACGGCCGTTGAACTAGTCTATGGCACGACATTAACGTTACCAGGACAACTGGTCAAGAATGAACATATAACTCCATGAGACCCTTCTCGTTTTGTAAGCAGATTACTATAAATGATGTAGAACATCAAAGCAATACCACCTTGAGAATACAACAACCGAGTCCATCTTGATAAACATTTAGAAACGTGCACATTTGTTTTTGTTCGAGTAGACACGGTAAAAAAAGCCACTGACACCACCATATGAAGGCCCTTATAAAGTATTAAAACGCACTCACAAATATTTCATTATCAACAAAAATGGAAACAATGAGACAATTTCCATAGACCGAATAAAACCAGCTTTCTATGAAGTCCTTCAAGACACAGACGACAATACTGCGAACAAACAATCACTCTCATCAATTGCTAAGAAACAAGCGGAAGAGGATAAACTTAGCACACTTAACACCCTCTTGTTTAACACGTTCTGGGAGACTTATAAAAAAACCAAAGCGTTACGTACATTTTGCCGTATAAAAAAAACCCCAACGAACTAAAACAATCAAAGCAAACAATTATCGAGGACCTACACAGTGTACATAATTAATCACATTTTTCCACAATTATTCGTTTTGTCACATTTTTGTTGTTGTTACAATAATAAACGAGTAATTACATATTCATTGTACACAAAAATAAACAGTTCAATTCTTTTTTTTTTCTTGTGGCTCATTAACAATTTTACACATTATTATCATTGTTAGCCAAACAAGACATTAAATGACAGTGTTTTCATTTTTTTTTTCTTTTTGTGTTCGTTACGCTATGCTACAATACTGCTATTCTCAAACGATAACACACTGCTGCATCTTACTAACGTATATGTCATATCCATTTACACAATTTTTTGTTGGTTATAACTGTAAATATTATTTTTGTATATATGTATATATCATATTCCTATGTCTTTTTGTTGTTGTTATTATAACCAGTGTTACCTCCGGACACTCTGGGGGGGGAGCTATGTGGAAATAGGTTTGACAAGCTTATTTTGTACATAGTTTTTAATATTATTTGTATTTATTTTGCCAATGATTGTACCTGTTGTTTTAGTAAATGACCTTGAACACTTTTTCCGTTGTGGTACTAATATAGCGTGACACACTTGTGGTTGTTCACAAATACACTACTACACACACACACACACACACACACACACTCCTTGTTCTATTCTCACTCGTTATCGAGCCAATTGCATTCTAAATAGAATATTATCCACATTTTAGAGTGTTGTGCCATTTCTATGACATCCTACGTCAAGGAAATTTACTGGAGTCACATTTACCTCATCGGTGTTATTACTCATTTATAATTGTGGATTTTGGTACCAAAACTCAACGGAATACGCGACAACTAGCTGATTTAAGTAATTTCCCTGAACTTTTATTTTGTGTTACTAATTTATAAATTATTAGTGTTACATTAACTTTTGGACGTGATAACTTTATTGCTAATTTTTAGTTAAAATACATTTTGGTCCACCACAAGTCTTAGTCAAATCTTTCGATTGCATAAATTCCACAACGATTACTCATAACTAGATGTTTCATTACATCTTTCAACTTTGCAAGCCATTGGAAACCAATAGCTAAAGGTTCATTGATGAACTTGTGAACTGGATCTGCGATACTCAAGTTGCACTTAACTGGTCATCTCATACTCCTATTTCACACATGATTTGTCTTATGTTTATAAGTTCTAACTTGTTGTGTAACTTTTTATTAAAGTAGTCTTCATTACATTCCACTTAATAAAGATAAATTCGGTTGGCAAGTTCGCGCTATTTAAATAACAAAAAAAATGTTCCAGATCGTAAATATTTTAAATGAGCTTCATTAGTAATGTTTTTCAATATATAACTTAGACGTATTCATCGCTCTAATATCATGTCCCCTACAGCAATGTTGGATTGGAGGTGCAAAGGATTGGTTGGATTGATTGCTGAGAATCTCGATCAGAAATCTGTAATAAATTGTCAATTTTTATTGAAGCCTATTTTCAGTTAAATTTTCTATAGGGACAGTTAATGTGACAGACGTCGTTCTACAACTGATAATTTTTGCTCTAATGAATATCATGAAAGATTGTATGGGTCAAAATTGTTCACAATAGCTGACTTGTCCTCACTGCTAGTGTTCACCATGTAAACTACATGTTCTCAGTACCCAAGTTAAAATAATGATGATATAAAATTTGAGATTAATATCCTTCTCTTCTATTAAATTCGACCAACCCAATTTATACAGCTACGAAAGAAATTTTAAGGCAACAGAGCAATTTTTCGTTTCATATTTAAGACCTGCTCAGCTGAACCTATTTACGGAGCATTACATAATGGTGGATAAACAGACTTTTTAATGTTGATCAATATAAAACTCCTTGGAATCTTGAAAATTGAACAGACACTCATTTATGTTACTACGATATATGGTAGGTCATGTCAGTGGGAAATGCTCGGCAGATTTTCAAATAGCTCTCTTTCTGGAGTACATCAATACCAGAAAATACCTCCAAAGATTCAGTGATTGGTTTCATTATTGAAGTCGTCCATTTTGATAGTAAATCCTGACAATGGTCGCACTAACATCACGGAATATTTTAGTGGCCCTGGAATATCTGACTCCAATTTGATCATGTGATTATCGATATCGATTTATACATATGGTCAATCCTTGTATATAATTATCGACTTGACTCGCCTCACTGAATAACTAAATTAAAGAAATTCAAATGCGAGAACAGATGTTTGAATACGTATATCTTATACAATTGTTGGAGGGAGCAGACAATCAGAGAAACGAAACGAAGAGGTGAGTGCGAAGCAAGTCGGATTGGAGATGGCATGTTAGCCAATTCACTAATTAAGCGTTACTCAATATTTATAGCCAAATGGGATCAATGTGATGTGAGACAAAGCAAAGTTAGGCAAAGGAAGGGAGCGAAGTGGGGCGAGGCGAGGTGAGGCGAATAATTAACAAGGTCAAAATGTGACTCGAGAAGAATGAATAGACTGGTCTGTACAGAGACTAGAATAACCTACGTGGGCTCGACATAGGGCCAGTTACTACAAGTTATTGGCATGCTTTGTATTGTATCAGTCAGAGTTGTTTATTAACACCATATCGATTCGACAGTGTATCTAAGATCAATAATAAAAACTGGAGTGACACGATAAATATTTTATTATAACTATTCTGATTTCAAGTATGTGACAGCAGAACCGAAACGTTTCGGCAGTGAACCATTCATGTGTTTCATTGGTGTTTTACATACAATTGCAAGACTGCTTTTTATATACCATGAGTAATGACTTTGACTGCATGGGATACATTGCCTATTTCAACGGTGGATGTGAATAATTTACTAAATACTGATTTTAACATGTATACGACCGAACCATTGTTACCAGAGGAATGGGTGAAATTTCAGCGAATCCTAGTGTAAGTAATACGTTTAATTAACCAATAAAATAGTTTTAATACAAAACGTTGAGTTTATAGTGTTTCAAGTTGACAATTCCTGATTCTCAAGCATGGAATACTCAACTAGTTAGTCGTAGTAACATTATTAAATTGTGGGTAATATTGTGAAATTATCAACTGAAGACTATTTGTATGTTGTCTATTGAATTAAGAATTTGATCTTTATTATTCTATATATAATAAGTATGAAATTATAATTATTTCAGTAGGATTAATGGAAGGATGAATGGATACTCACATAAATGAAGCAAATAGAAGTTGTAGATCACCAACATAGATGATCAATGTCGAATGATTAGGGGGCCTACTGAAGTTTGACGGTAACAGATAACTTCGAAGTCACACCCCGTGATCAGCACCCGAAAAAAAAACAATTGAAGTATCAACAAGATTTATTTCTTACAAAAAATAAATGTACTTTATATTCCCACATATTTGAATGACCATAACAACACATACTCAATGAAATTCTCACAGTAATGAGAGAAAACCAATGCGTGTGAACGTATTGATAATCTATTGAGAGAATTGTGAAGAACAAGTAATTTTATCTAATCTAAAATATGAACAATGGAATATACTTTTGCAATGTTCCCATAAGATTTTAAATTTTATTTCGTATGTATTGTTAGTATAAATTCACTTGATATTGTTTTGGCTTGTATCTTCCCATTGAGGTTTAACACTGCAATCGGTCAGTCTGTTATTGGCATATGTGCATACTGTGCGTATGCCTCGATATTGCCTTAATTCACAAGCTTTTTGTAAGCAATGATGCACATATACCAATAACAGACTGATCAATTGCAGTGTTAAACCTCAATGGGAGGATACCAGCCAAAACAATATCAAGTGAATTTAAATTCACCCCATTGCACAAACAAGTTGCAATCATGAGTCAGTAGCTGAATGGGTAACATGATGGCGTTTGAAGCGAACGGTACTGGGTTCGGGTCCCAAAGTGAAAATCAACTCAGATGCAGGTACATCCAGCTGACGAGTCCCAGGTAGGACGGAACGCGCGGTTTGGAATCCACTTTCAGCCACTACCCATCATTGCTTACAAAAATAATGTTAGTATAGTTATAATCGATTGATCACTGAGTAGTAACTAATGTTATTCATAGATTAGACCCATATCTAAATGACTCAAGTTATACCCGTCTCATTAATATTGAACTGATCTCTTGCACACGAGTGTCAAATAGCGTGAAACGTAAATGAAGAAGAATTTCCTGACGACTACCTTGAACCAAATAAAAACAAAACATTCTGTGTACTAGATGTTCAATCATTTAGACTGATGAAAAACATTATAATTCGATAGACAGATATTGATTAGCAATTTGTTCAAAATATCCATTTAATAAAAGAGATTGTTCATCTAAAGCTGTTATTATCAACATAGAGAAAATATAAAACCTAAACAAATCAGTGGCTAACTGATATATTTAGTATAAATAGCTATTCAAACTAGTAATATGTTTAAAAGTGTACTCTTTTTAAACACGGGTAAATACATTTAATTGAACGTTAATTCAACGAAAGAATTAACTGAAATCATAAGTCAATTGAATCTAGATCACCATGGAAAACCTGGAAGCACTGAACGGTCGTTTCGTCCTAGTATGGGACTCCTCAACAGTGTGCATCCACGATCCTGCACCCCGCGAGATCCATACCAAACACCTATCAGTCTCTCACCAGGTGCTTAACCAACTAGACCACTGAGCCGGCATCCAATGGTGTTCGTCTCTAACCTCAACCAATCCACGAGAGACTGATAGGTCCTGGGTTTGAATCTCGCGGGGTGCAGGATCGTGGATGCTCACTGCTGAAGAGTTCCATACTAGGATGAAACGACCGTCCAGTTCTTTCAGGTTTTCCATGTTGCTCTAGCTCCAATTGACTCATGATTTCAATCATAAACTTAATAATCTCCACAACCCCTAAAAAACTGAAAGAATTAAACTCAAAGATTATTAGAAGATATCAGGATGTATGTATACAGTTTAGTTTTTAATATGTCAGTCTAGACTAGCTTCCTTCCAACCTACTCCTATACCACAGAAAGCTAGGGGCGGCCAGACCAAAACGTGGAACAAGTCCATAAAGTCACTGACAAGTGGACTGAGTCATGTTGGCAGATGTAGACTACCTGGTTGGGGACCGCGAGATGATAGCAACCGATGGTTAGCGACCCTGAATGACATGGCTCAAAATCTTTTGCAATGGCGCAGGAGCATACACTCTTTGTGTTCTCCCAAATTTTAATCTCCTGATTCTTACTTGTCTCTGACTTCTCTCCTCAAATTTATTTCATTGGATTATCCTCTTTAAATAACATCTCCCAACCCTAATCTTCCCGTTTACTGCCTATACTCTTACTAACTCTATCACAACGGTATTTGAATCGACAACTGCATCTCTGTGCTAATATGGTATGGCAACTCGAACTAGTGTACGTACGTACGAATTTCTACATTGTTACTGCCTGACTGACATAAGTAATGTCAAAACAAGTTACTTAACATGTGTATGTATAGGTGAAGAAAACACATCTTGTTACTATCTATCATCCAGGCAACATATTACTTAACCAAAATAACTCTACTGTTATACTACTTAATAAAAACATTCATCCTTAGCCAAATTTGTACTATTAAACATATATGAGAATAACAATTAAAAACACACGTAGTATTTGCAATGAGAAAACTGAGGTAATACAATTAAGAAGATGTAGATAAACAAATGGAGGAATGGATGAACTCAGATAATTCACACAAACGCAAATAAAAAGGCATTGAAATCATTATGTAAAATCATTGCAACAACATACTAAACGAAAGTAAATGTATAACATACTGATAATATACATTCTGATAACTTTTGTCTACTGTGTGAACACCAACAGAAAACTTGATAAAAACAGCCTAGAAATACTCAAACTGCATAGAAAATACAGACAGGATTTAGTTGATTGTAAAGTTGATGGACAACCTCCAGCTAAATATATGTCACCATTGGTAAATCACTCACTATTCAATAATTTCTTCAAATAATATACATAACGTTTATTTGTAGAAATGGAATTACGATCTGGCTGCACATGCACAAAAATTGGCAAAAAATTGCTCCTTGAAACACGACATACCTTATTCAAAAGAATTCCTTTGTATTGGACAAAATATTGTTTTCACTCCAACCATTAAGTCGTAAGGTCATTTCTATTCAATTCACTGTTTTCTGATTCAGAGGAGTAGATGCTTGGTTCAATCAGCACAAATTATACGACTACGATCACAACGACTGTATGCGATGTTTGCATTACACACAAGTAAGTCCATTCTCATCCACTTCAACATAGTTCAACATAACCACAGTCATTTGACACTCTCCGTTCACATTCATCATATTACGTCACGAGTGTGTGATAACAATGAAATGGTTTCACTTATCTACAGAAGTGACTGAAAAACACATGTAAATACACGTAATTCGATCATTGCAGTTATGCACACAGGTATCCACAACACTTGATCATATTTGAGTATGTGTGTTTTGTTGAGAGTTGAGGTGATTCGGTGGAAAACAACAGATCGGAAATTTGTCTCTGACCAGCATGTACTAAGACTGACGAGTGCATTCAAATCCTAATCAATATGTCAACACCAGTGTGAACACACAAACACAATATTGCAATTTACTCAACAGAAATGCATTGTGTATGGATGGAAGATGACGATGTTGTGATGGGTGAGATGAATTCGACTGTTGGTTGACATGAGACAAAATGAGTGGTGAGTGAGTGAGTGGGTGAGAGATTGATTGAGTGTTCTGTAGAATTCAACTAGTTATCATAACTGCACCAAGTGTAAATATACTCATTCAACACATACTGCAATTTCCACGTGTACCTTCTTCAGTTGACAACATTATCTCCATCATTTACAAGTAATGTATTTACACACAGGTCATGTTGAAACATAGTGGAAATGCCTTGTGATTGGCCTAACGAACGATCACATTATTTCCTTGTTCACATTCCGTTTCAGATGGTTTGGGCCAATACCACAGACATTGGATGTGGGGTTGCGACTTGTCCATGGCACGGTCTATCAATCGTGTGTAATTATGGTCCAGGGTAAGTGATTTCTGTTGATGATGTGGGAAGAGATGGTATTGTTTGCAATCACCTTGTTGTTGTTCTCATGGTGAATGTAACTGAATTTCTATTGTGTTGACTGTTTTAGTGGTAATTGGACTGATGAGAAACCATATGAAGTGAAATCACGTGAATTGTGCCCAGAAAAGCAGAATAATACACAGCGTGCACCATTATCAATAGCGAATGTCAACCACAAATTGTCATCGGCCGGTTTAAGTAGAAATGGAGTTCACTACCAACGCCTAAATAGTCAATGTATTTCTTTAAATAATCCGCAAAATAATCGTCGTAATACACAGAGTATATGGAAATTCGGAAATAAAGCTTTACACAAGAGCGTTCGTGATGGAAGTGGGCATGGCTATGTACAATGACTGCATAATGGCAGAATACTACGTTAATGAAATTGATTGAATTCATTCAGCTAATATAATTGGTGCCTCCATATCTATTACACGTATCTGCTTTCAATTTTGTTTTCACTTCAATAACCCAAACACTTATCTGAATTTATACTCATTACGTACATCCGTTGATATGCAGGACTATTTTGTGTTGATATTACTCAACTATATCTGTGTGTGTAGCAATTAGTCATAACTTATAATTCAATATATTTCATTCAAATCATATTGTTTTGTGTTTTGTAATTCATGTGGTGATTGAGAAACGATGTTGGCAAAGGTCATTGGAATGATACATTTAATGAATACGTTCATTATGTGTTGATTATTTCATCTTTGTATGTGTATTGTGTGTTGACTGTCATTCACGTTCATTCAGCTCATCAATGTAACTAGTCACAATAATCACTTCATTCAATATTAAACGTGTAATTCAACAGTAAATCCTTAACTTACAATATATCTAAACTAAATTCTCCTATTCCCTGTACACAACATCATTATGTCTTGTTTAATGATATTTTCGTTTGAAAAACTATGGATCTTTACAAAGATTAACTACCTGATCATGCATGAGTATAGCATTTCGGTTAAGTCAGTTTCGATAAACCGTTCGTCTCATAGACAACATTCCCCATAGAGTGGGGAATATATATGTTCAGTGAATGATTTGTATCCGATAATGTGTGTGTATGAGCGAATAGAAGAACTAATTGATAGTCAAATCGAAATAAGGAATAGCAGTGCAACAAGGCAAGGCAAGACAAGGCAAGGAATCGTCTAATAATAGGATTCAATCACATATATACATGGAAAAGAGAATGATTCATCGAGCGATAATTAAGCCATCACAATTTATTCTTGAGATATGTGAGTAGGCTGTCATATGTGGTCAAGCGTACACGTTTATACAGACATGATAGTGATCATAATAACAATACAAAGCAATAGACGAATGTTTACTGTCCGAATATCATTGTCTGTTGAATATGTTCATAAAGGGCTTGACAGAAATTAACAATAACCGTAATTAACCGAGGGAATTCGAAAGTAAATAAAATTAAATGATTAGATATATATGTTAGTTAATTGCATAGTTTATGATTGCCCGTAGCTTGATTGTCTGTCCAATATAATACTCAAAACAAAACGGACTAACATTTTATAACATAAAACAAGCGAGATCGACTGAAGAAATACATTGACTTAAATAGTCATAGCGAAAACCAATAAAACCAATCTTACTCAACGAAAATTTGTATTACATTAACCGAGTAATTTCTGCACACTGAAACATTAAATTATGCAGCTACACAAAAGAGACGGCGGAAAAAACAGAGAGGAAAGCCGACCACCATTGCTAACAAATATGGCAGACATAATAATTCCCGCTTCATTCTGATTGGTCGATAAGCAGACTGACACGATTATGAAATCGAGTTGAGTTTAATTACAGCCCTTTGTTACAGAGTAAAATTTCAAATATTTTCCACTCAATAACGATTGTTCTAAGCTTACTCTTTGTTACGTTTATCCTATACTACTCATTTGTATTAAATAGTTTGAGTTAGTTTCCTTTTATTTTAATGTCCTTCATGTGTAATTCGTGTTATTTCTGCATAGCTATTTCTACATAGTACAGTAATTAATACTCTTCTGATCATACAATCTTATTTATGTAGGGTAATGTGTGTAACGTTATTTATTTCGGAAACTATCTAATGTTGAACGTTGTGACTAACCTACTTCTATTAGTCAGTAATGTTTCTTCTAGCCAAAGCCGAGTAGTGTTTTCTAACTGCAATATATCATTGTGATTAATTGAAAGATGGATTTGATTTGACAATATTATTTTAGTGTAATCGACACATGGATGCCTCATCATTCAAGATACATAGATACTTTGTGTATATGCCACTTTTTCATTACAATATCTTGTTTCTAGAAAATGTTCTTCTTTTGAATTCGAGAATGCTTGCATTAACAAAAAACTATACTCCAATTTGCTTTGTTAATTAATAAATAAAATACCGATAACTACTGAATACTTAATCCTTTCTTGTATCATTATTGAATATTCATTGTATATATTTTTTTCTCTTTTTGATTAAAGTAGGATGAACACATCAGTCCTTGAAGACACTAACTTCTAGTCTGAGCCATGTTGGTAGATTCAGACTACTTGGTTGGGGTCCGCGTGATTATCATGACCAATGGTTGGAGACTCTGGGTGACATGGCTCAGAGTCGATCACAATGGCATCGGTGTATACACTTTCTATCTTCCCTTGAACTAAGAGATTAAAATCTCTTCATATCCTTCTTTCTACGAACTAATTTTTTGTTCCTGTATTATATCCTTATATGTAGTCTTTCTTTTATATATTACTTACTTACTTACTTACGCCTGTTACTCCTCGTAAAGGAGCATAGGCCGCTCACCAGCATTCGCCATCCAACCCTGTCCTGGGCAGTCCTTTCCAGCTCCTTTCAGTTCCTATTCATCCTTTTCATATCTGCTTCTATTATCCGACGTAATGTGTTCTTTGGCCTTCCTCTTTTCTGCTTCCCTTCAGCATTCCAAGTTAGGGCTTGCCTCGTGAAGTATTCTACCCATCTGTTCCGCTGTTGTTGAATTACAGTGATTGGCTTGCCTTCTTTGTCTTTGACCGGCTTCTCTGGTCTACTGTATTTCCCTGATAGTTTCTTCGTTGTATCGTAAAGCTGTTTCATATTTCCTTCTCTTGCAGCTTTTTCCGCCGTCCTTGCTAGTTCTTTGACGTATTTCTTCTTGTCGGCTCTAATGCTTCTCTTCACTTGCTTGTTTGCTTCTGTGTATTCAGATTGTGCTTGGACTCTCTCTGCTCGTGTTCGGCTGTTGTTAATTGCTGCCTTCTTGTTCTTCCTTTCTTTGATCCTGTTCAGTGTTTCTATAGAGATCCACTCCTTATGATGGTGTTTCTTTAGGCCCAGAACCTCTTGACACATTGAAGTTAATGCTTCCTTGATGTTTTTCCAGTTGTCCTCCATAGTAGTTTCTCCTTCTTTCAGTAGATCTTGTAAGGCTTGGAACCTGTTGTTGAGATCTATCTTGAATTCATTGAGTTTATCAGTATCTCGAAGGAAGTCTGTATTAAACCATTGTAGTGCTGTTTGTCCACTTGTCCAGTTCTTTTTTATCTTCAGTTTTAAATTGGCCACAACTAGGTGGTGATCTGAAGCTACTTCAGCACCTCTCATGGTTCTTACATCTTCCATTGTCCTTCGGAATTTTTTGTTGATGCAAATATGATCTGTTTGGTTCTCTGTAGTGTGATCCGGTGAGATCCATGTAGCCTTGTGTATACGCTTGTGTGGAAATATTGTGCCCCCTATGACCAATTTGTTGAATGCACATAGATTTGCAAACCTTTCTCCATTTTCGTTTCTCTCTCCCAGTCCATGTCGTCCCATAATATATTCATATCCGGTGTTGTCTATTCCAACTTTGGCATTTAGATCACCCATTAGAATGGTGAGGTCCTTTCTTGGGCATTTCTCTATGATTGACTGCAGCCGCTCGTAGAATTGAACTTTAATGTCGTCGTTGTTATCATTGGTGGGTGCATAACATTAGATAAAATTCATTGTGATCCTCTCCTTCATTGTTTTGAATGATGCTTTGATGATTCTGGATCCGTGAGATTCCAATCCTACAAGTGCATTTTTTAGCGAGTTAGTTTTCTACGGGATGGAGACGCTAACCCCATGCCCAACCCTCCTCCTTTACCCGGGCTTGAGACTGGCAGTAACTCTAAAAGAGCTACAGGCGGAGTTTTTTTATATATTACCACCACAGAATTAACTGCTTTTATGAATCCGGTGTTCATCTTGTTGTGTTAATGAGGTATGGCAACTTGTACCAATGCATATATGTGCCTGATCCTACGTTGTAGCTGACTGACTGAAAGGATGAAGGATAAGGTAAATAAAATTATTGAATGTATCAATGTTATGCAATTGTCTATATTATTTGTGTTAAAAACAATGAGACTGTGGATACATAGGATATTTAGCTATGCTGTAACTATAATAAATGACTGATACTTTGAATAAATTACCCATGTGGAAATAATTTCGAAGTATCTTAGAGATTTACTGACAAAATATATTTGAGACTGGATGAATACAATATCGCAAATTAACGGAAGTCAGATATGTGAACTGCTGGTACCCAGCACATTTATCTAAAGGTTAAGTGCCCAGTACACTATCTTAACGTCCTAGATTCCATTCGAAATGAAATCATGACCATTAAAGTACTGATATTGAAAGGAAGCTGGTAAGCAGTGCATATTGGGTTCCAATGATTTTGTAAATAAAATCAGTCTATAAGGTGAAAATAAACAAATAAAACTAATATGGATAGAGTATTATTGATTCTTACATTGCCTTAAGTCTTCATCCATATGGAGCTGAAAACTAGTCTGATCTTCTTTCAGTGATAATATTTGTAGAGTCTATGATAATGTTATTAACTAGGTCAAAGAAACAGAAAATATAAATATCCAGTTGGTGGAAACTAGTTCAAAAGATGAGATCTGAACTTTTAAAAATACCAGGTGGCAGCTGAAAAGTAAATTAAGAAAATACGTCGTAAGAGTCAAGAGATAACTTGGAATCTTGAAGGGAAACAAATAAGAGGAAGATCAAATAGCACACTATGCCGAGTTAAGTCAATAATTATTTGTAAGGATTGGTGAAATGTATATTTCGTTAACTTGATAACAAGCAGCAAATGATCTACCCAGAGTGAAATTTTGGGCCACCATCACAATTGATTGATCACTGAGTGGTAATCAATGTCATGTGTGTCAGGTCATTGTTAGTGCAGATCGGGTGCCATCGATCAAGTTGCAATGTGACCACTAGTCTAGTTGACTCGAGACTGCGTGTACTATGTTGGTATAAGATGGTGGTAGAAGATAGTCAACAGCAAACCCTGAACTCGGGACTTGACACACATGACATTGATCACCACCCAGTGATCAATCAATTGTGATTACATCTCAGTCCTACAGGATGTCGGTCGAGAACCGGATAGCTCAGTGGTAACGTCTCTGACTGTGAAGCTGGGTAACATGGGATCGGACCAGTTCCCTCAAGATTACAGGTACACCTTGCTGACAAGTGTCAAGTAGCACAAGACCTGGGTCCAGGGTTAACTGTCGACTACCTCCAACCACCATCTTATCTTTCTAGGCCACCATAGCAGACTGATGGTTGGCTGCCTATGCTCTTTGACGAGGAGTAACAGGTGTAAATAAATAAATAAGTTATACAGTTATATGAATAAACTTAATAATTCAATTGAAACGATAAAAACTTTAAATTGAAAGAACTACATGTTTGATTTGAACATGGCTTGCACTAAAAAACCACAACCTGAAACGCTACATAAATTATTCTACTTATGGTGAACAAACAATCATTTTAATAGAAAAAAAACTGTCATTTCATATACATAGGCTGAAATGAAAATGTATAATGTACCAAATCACATAACCATATATTTAACTTTTTATCGAAAGTTACATTAACACGAGTTGGGACATTATCAACGATAAATATATTTGTTGTCAATATCAAATTTTATTTTCTCAATGGTTATTCTTTATTTAACGTTTCAAATAAGTTATATGTAATTTCAATAGTTGACATCATGAGTCGATTACATCTAGACCACCATAGAAAACCTGGAAACACTGGACAGTCGTTTCGTCCTATTGTGTAACTCCTTCCTTGGCAGTGCGCATCCACGAACCCAGGACCTATCGTTCTCGTGTGCGAGTGCTTAACCTCCATACCAATGGGTCGGCATCCAATGGTGTTAATGTTCAACTTCAACTAATCCACGAAAATGAGTGACACATCCATCATTGTCATCAGTGAGTTACTATCTCACAACTGACGCGGATGAACTCCACCCCGCGAGGTACAGTCGTGGATAAGTACTGATGAGGAGTGCTACAATAGAACGAAACCACCATCTAGTGCTTCCAGGTTTTCCATGGTGGTCTAGCATCGATTGATTCATGATTTCAACTAATGAGATTACTACAATCTCCACAAACCCCCTTCTGATACTTATATATAATTGTCTCTTTAAATTATCAGTTCAAACTTTTTTTATTTATTTTAGTTAGTATGGCAAAATACTATTCATGTTGGTTGTGGTATTACAAATTGTACTGGAAATTATGGATTTCCATATGGATTATCAGTTGTTTGTAATTATGGCCCAGGGTAAATAAATATGAATAATTAATACTAATAATTGTACTATAATTTTATTCTACTAATTATTATAAAAGTAATATAAAGATGTTTGTATTCATTAAATTTTAAAAAGAAAGATTCAATTGATACATTCCATTGTATATTATTTTGTATTTTAGAGGAAACTATGAAGGTCGTTATCCTTACGAAGCAAAATCACAGGATGAGTGTTATTCTGTAACTACAAAACGTCCTAAACCTACTAGACGTCCAGTTACTACTAAACGTCCTAAAACTACTAGACGTCCTAAAACTACTAGACCTCCAATTACTACTAAACGTCCTAAAACTACTAGACGTCCTGAAACCATACCAACTCGTAAACCAGGCATATCAAAACAAATACCAAAACCAAACTGGCCTACACTCATCAGTTCATGGAGTGGATTTGCCAATTCAAATATGCTACATGGAATAATAACAAAAACATGTATTTGTATTCAGTGAAAATTGAAAATTACTCAAAACATTTAATATGTCACTGTTCTGTGTATTAACCATGTTGTATGTTTTAAATGAAAATATAAACATCATTGAAAGAGAGACAACATTTATGTTCTTTTCTAAAACAATAACTGATTTCCAGTAATCGATTACGAGTGTGAGGCTTTATTCAAAGATGATTTAATATAAATGACTTGAAACCTTAGTAACTTAGATGTATTCAACTATAGCTATGAATTAGTGTTAAAGTATTTTGAAAAAATAGTAACGATATTACACTGACTATAAAATCTACGGTGAATGTAGACCTAGTGTATGTGACTAACTTCAGATTGTCTTTAATAGATTATAATCTATTAAAGACATATGCTACATATGTAGCATTTCTGGATAGTTTTAAACTGAAGATTAATGACTTAACGATCTCTTTGTTGTTCAACAAGTTACCATAGTTTTAGATTCTATAAATGAAATACTCCTAATATATATTTACTTTAAGGATTTAGAATGCACACGACTTTATTGTTTTCCCTTGAAAAAATTGTTCATTAACTTCTGAACTGAAATACACTTTACTAGTTACATTATTATAAATGTACTTTATCAGAACTTAACATATCCCTTACTTCAATCTTTGCATATAGACTCCAGAAGGAATACTGATTTATAAGGTAGTTGAATATAGTTTATAGCAATAAAAAAGACAAAATAGATTATATTTGCCAGTGCTTGTTATTCAACAAGTTGTAAAGACCAGATATTCAGGTTAAAGAGGGGATCATCTGGGTCAATGTCGTCAGATCAGATCACTGTGCTCACAATCTAGGGAATAGTCAAATGGTAGATGAGTGTTGTCCATGGATGAACACTTCTGTCTGAGATTTGGCTCAATTATCCACTGGACACACAGACATAATATTGCGATACTTTGTATCCCTGATTCGATTGCCGATACAGCTTCTTATTCTGTCTTTATCTCCTCACCCAACTAACGGGTTAGGATTGCTTATAGGTATCATACGTATAAGTGTCAAAATCGAACTGATGCTTGGTTTACGATACTAGTATTTAAGCTTGTAGAGTGTTTACGAAGACCTATTCATATATTTTCTTACATTAGCCATTCTAATGATTATCTAATAAGGTTTTCATTTAAATGTAATACAAGCATTATAAGCGAAGATGAATGGTGGTTAGCAGTAGAGTCCAGAACTCGCGTTTCGCTCTGTTTTGGACTCGTCAGCTAGATGTACTTTCATCCCAAAATTTATGTTCACTCTGAGACCCAGTACCATTCGCTTCAAACGCCATCGACTTATCCACTTACCTACTAAATCCTGAAAGTCACTAGCCTATGCAATGGGAAGATTGGTTGCTTGAATCTTCCTTTTCGTAATGCGTCGATTCGTTCATCTACAGTGGTACTATGTCTTTGAGGACTCGTATGTTTCATTCTCTCATAAATCCTATCGGCTATTTTAGCAATGTTGTCTATGTCGACATCTCTGTCCTCAACTGCAAGGATCTGCTGCACGTTCGCTGAAAGTTGTCGTAACCACAACTGATGAAATATGTTTTTATCTACTTTTCTATCTCCGATTATGCTTCTCATATAGTATTTTAACTGCGATGGAGTCCTATCTCCTATCTGCACTTGACTGAGAAGCTGTTCGACGGCTTGCCGGTCGCTTAATGAGACAGCTTTAATCACTGCCTGCTTTAGTGTGTCGTATGGCTTTTCTATATCTGGCTTAGTTAAAACCTCTCGTACGTTGTCTGCTACTTCATCTGCAAGTAGAGAGCTCGCGTGGCCAAATTTATCTCGCTGTGTATGAACACGATTAGCTAGAAAGTAATGTTCAAGTCTGATAAACCAAAGTTGAGGGTCTGAGACCTTAAAAAAGGTAATAGTTACATTAATGGACCTCACGGACGGCGTTTGTGAAAGTTTTATTGTATAGTTACTTAAAGACATTTATAAAGATAAAAAAGTACACGAATATAATGTGAATGTCACAGAGAGAAGTGAGTCGATAAAAACACTCATAATAATAAATGGTACAATTTATAACAAAGAACGGACCTACTAAATTGCACCAAAATGTCAATTGTTTGTAAAATATCGTCGTTTAGTGTGAATATTATCGCTATATTCGATAATGTTTGTGAGATAATGCACATATAATTAAAATAATGAGATAATAAATCTACAGTTATAATTATAATCCAAATGTTAGTTTGAATTGAAATAGAGTACGTTGAATTTTCGGAATTGGGTTATGTCGTCGAAGATTGTTTCGTACTCGCGCTTCGGGATCGCCAATTCTGTGGTGATCGGTACTCGATATATTCCTTAAACTTCGTATACAGTTCGTCTTGATAACCGTCCTAGATATCCACAACGGTATATTAATCAGAAGGCGAATACAAAGCGTTGATTACGTTTATTGCGAGACCACACACAGATGTCCAAAATTACAGATGCATTAAACGAGCATTAAGAGTTGTGCAGAACGGCAAACAGGCAAGCGAGTGAATAAGCAAATATAAGTAATCAAGTACAATCAAGCGAGCGAGAAAGCAGAGCAAGCAGTCAATATGGATATATATATATATATATATATATATATATATATATATATATATATATATATATATATATATAGTGAAGTGAATGAGTCATCGAACCAAATAAGTGGTTAGTAGCAAGACTATCAGAATGAATAAATTCGTGAGCCGTAAGCAATATTCAGGCGTACATTTTCATACATTCGCAATAGTAATAAAGATACAATGATTTAGGTAAGTATTTGTACGGATGACTCAGTTCGTTAATAAGTTAATAATGATCTCCTACAATAGATTGCAGTTTAGAATAAAATATTTTATACTTAACATGTGAAGTCATCAGTTCATGATTCTTTTAAGTTCATATTGTGATGATACTCGTTTAAGTACTCACACTGGGGCAATCATCAACTTACAGTTAAGAAAATTCAGGAGTGTGCAGCAGATAGTTCATGAAGCTGAAAAAGTTTGAATACCATTTGTCAGTCCAAACAGTGTGATTTAACTACCCCATAACAGATTACTGTGGCTGGTTTATAATCTATTGGCATCATCCAGAACCATTTATCTGTGAGATTTACGAAACCACTTTCCAATAATACGGTCAAGCTTCTTGACTCACTCGTCAAACTCTAACATAAGGCAACCGTGCGTAAAGATTTATATACCGAAAGCTATCTGTAAGTTCAACCCCAGATTTTGTCCGTGGCTGAGTAGGAGGCGCTGGTTTTATAGGTAAATCAAAGTAACAAACATGAAACACTCACATCTAACTCTTTCAACGAATAGATTCATTCGATGTGCATTAAATCCGCAAGTATTATGAAGGAAAGAATAAAATAAACGACTAGTGGTGTCCTTACATGCATGGAAATTTTAATAATTGTATGATTGTAAAACTGGCTATCAGGTGAATAAGATCTTAATGTTGTGAAGCTCCTTATTGAGATTGGTAACAATAGCATATTTTGATGAGTTGTCTATAAGAAGCCTCGACATTTACTTTAGTTCAGGAGGTAATAAAGCAGATAACTCCGTGTATTATTAATTCCTGAAAACTACAGTCGCCTAATGTAACCACTTTTAAGACTTGGATTAACAACCAAAACTGGGGAAGACTCATCTGGTTCTGGAATCGTATTTGATAAACACTTCGATTGTGTGTGTTTAAATCATTGATAGCTAGAATTCGAGTAATAGATTTCCCGACATTTTCACCACAATCCTTGTGACAAGGCGAAAACTGCTTCCACAATGATATGTAACTTATACAGACACCTCATATTCGAACAGGGTATCCTTCCTTTTAGTAGCTTTGATGGAAGCTCTTTCGTTGCGGGGTGTTTAGCATGTAGTAGAAATATATCCTCTCTCCAGTTCATCAAATGTTGAAGCAATAATGTAATCAATAGCAGCTTTAATGTCCCGACAATACGTTCTGCCTGATTATTTAAACAAGCAGCGAACAGACACCTGCATCCTATACCATTCAAACAAGCAGTGACTGCATCCGCAGCAAAATGAGATCTATTATCAGCCGCTAACACCATAAAAATCCCTTCTCAACCAAACACCTTTTTAATGTTTGGATTGTGAAGTCACAATTTGATGAAGTTGTGAAGAAGACTTCAGGCAACTTCGAAAAATAATTAACTACAAGTACATAGTATTTGCCAAGAAAGGGACCACAATAGTTTGCATGAATTCTCTGCCAGGCCTCAGACGATAATGGTATGAAATGCAATTCGGAGGCTCACTTTTCAACTTATGACATTTTCCACAGTTGTTTGCCTTATGACATATATCTGCATTCATCTCTGGACACTAACATGTGAGCTTTATCAAGAACCTCATTTACTCAATACTAAAATATTCTGTATGTATATATTTCAGGGCGGGTCTACGAAATGAAGGAGGAATAACAATATGATTATTCAAACACAAAATACTATCAGGAGTAGTATGCTAGATTTGAAGCGGATACGAGATCACTTGGTATACGAACGGATCAAGACTTGTGACCGAAGACTAATAAGCTTGATAATCTGTAGCGTTCCAGACCCGCTAACTAGAGTGAGAAATAGAAGCTTGGAGCGGAAAAGTACATTCCGTAAGCCAGAAGCACGAGTGAAAAATAACAGACACAAATCAAACGTATATATATACAGCATAAAACTGTCCATGAGAAACGTTGGAAAAACAGCATACTAAAATACACAACGGACCAATAGCGTTACAGATTCTCCCATGTGCGAAATACGACATGAAGGTGGAGAGTTTTTGGCGCGAAAACGAGGAAATTCACGTTTCCAAAATAAAATTGCAAAATTAAAGCATTTACCAAGTGAGTTCTGGGGATCTAACATCCCGAACTTAGTACATAACCCACCCCTCTTTGAAAAATAGGCAGGAAATCTATCTTTCTTGTCAGCATT